AGCAACATTTAAATGGAAACAGAAAAGGGATTTCAAAAGGCAGTTTTCAAACTTATTAAAATAACAACAGGGCTGATACATATAACAAGACGAACATTCTCAGGCATACATATTTTTCAAACAGACAGGCATACAAATAATAAAAACCAAATTCCACGCAAACCATTGTAAGCAGCAAGTGAAACAAAATAATAAGTGGAGCAGGCAACACAATGCTACGGTGTGGAGTGTTCCTGTTCAGGGTTTCAGCCAGTCAGCCATGTCTTTTTCTAGGACCCTATTATCATTCGCTTCTAGTTTTCCTTCCACCACCACCCTTTAAACCATCAGTGAGGAATTGTGACTACTGAGAATTAATCAGGCCTTCGCTTTCCAACTCCACCCTCCCCTTTAAAGCAGTTTTTAACCAATTTTCTAAAGTGTGATACTTTCCACTTCAGCTCAGGTGATACAATTTTTGGATTCTTATTTGGAGAATGACTTCACTATGAGAATATTGGGTGTGCAAGTGGTATCAGCAGAAATAACTGTAAACAGCGTGTGTGAATTGTGACTAAGAGAGTGAGGCCATCGCTGTGTCCCAAATTCCACTGGCAATCACTTCATTTGGACACCGAAGAAAGTGGCTGAAACTTTAAATCAGACTTCAGTGTCCAAGGCAGAAATAGCTCAGTCAGAAGAGCATGAGACTCTTAATCTCAGGGTCATGGGTTCAAGCCCCATGTTGGGCAAAGGATTTATGCACTGCAGGGGGTTGGGCTAGATGATCCTCACAGTCCCTTCCAACTCTACAGCTCTCTGATTCTACGCTTCTGTAGTAAAGTTCCTGTGCCGTCAATGAGAGACAGAAATTCAACTACCGAAGTGTTTCCTGGTATTTATGTTAAGTTACTTGTCCCTGTTTCAACTTTTGAATGATAAAAGAGAAGAATCAGAGAAGAAATATTCTTCTACTATGAAGAAAAATTTTCTTTTCTTTTTTTAAAGCAACCCCATGTTTCTAAGGTTGCTATCCCCCACTGTTCATTTATCTCTACCACGTTTTATTAGCTGTCCAGTTTGAAACTGACATAACGGTAATAATGTACAAATTCCAGCTCACTTCTGCAAATATTAAAGGGATTTTTCATGTAAAGAAAGGGATAAAATCCACTTGCAGAAAAAAGGTTAAGAAAAGAGGAAGTGACTTTTATCTTATTTAGGAAAACATGTAAAAGGAGCCACATCCTTCTTGACCCTGCCGTACGGCATCTGCTCACTAGTGTGCGCCCATCTCACTCTATAGCGGGCAGCGCTCGAACACTTCGGGTCCGTGGCCAGCTGTTGACAAACTGCTCTGTATTGCCTGCCACACACGGAAACTGGCGTACCTTCCCCTGTAAGCAGTCCCTATTTATCTACTTGCATGGCGGTCTTTCGAACTTATCTGTGACATAGCACGGCGAGTGCTTCCCCGCGTAATTCGACCGCGCCTCGATCGAAGCCTAGCGAGGTTTTACCCACAGCGCACCGCTCCCAGCTTCTTTACCTACTATCTTTTTATTATATTCTGGATGACGGTTCCCCAGCCACGCTGGCGCTGCATTGACTCTCTTTATAAAGCTCAATGAGCCCCCCGTCTCCTATTCAGAACTAGCCACTCTATAGTGAGCTTTAACATCATGACGTGTTCCCAGACACTGCCAGGAACTTCATCCTTAGCAGTGTAAATGATACTGCATTAAAATTTCCACAGCAAATGTTCTTTATTCACACAACCAGCCTTTCCCATGCAAATTTCACCATTATAGTGTAAACTTTAACCTCTTGGCTAGCATTTGCATGTATGTTCAAAAACTTCTCAAAGTTTAAGGCATTAATCTTTTCCATTATTTCAGTTTCACTATATTGCTTAACTTATACATGCACAAAGCGACAGGATATCAACTACAGCTTAATTAATGCATGATTATAGGAAAGACTTTACACACACACCTCCAACTTGGAAAACGAATTCCATTGAGTTTTTCATAAGCGTCAAGGTGCATACCTTGTGTTCGTTCTGATTTTAAGTAATATTTCACTGATTCCCCAGAGTGCAAAACTCTCAGCCTTAGTAAATTATCAAGTTACTTTGGATGGTCAAATCTGATAGAATGCTCTAAATGTATTACACAGGAGTACTACATACCAGTGGAATTGAATAACTAGAGGAAAAAATGCTCGTTATAAATAACCAACCATTTGAACTCTAGTGTCTCTCCCCTTTACACACTTAATATAATGTGACAGTAGAGGGCGCCCTTTTAATGTAATTCAGTAGTGAAGTACTGAATACACTTGGACACAAATACACAGAACGTAATTCTCATGCAGTGGCTCTCAGGGATTCTAATTGGAAACACACCTTGCCCGGATGCCTCTTTTGCCTCCCAGGCGATCTAAAGCATAATTCATTGATCTAAGCAAATGGGAGTGCTGCACTATGGACCTAAAATGAGAAGCAAAGGAAAAAATATAATGCTTATAAATGTATTAGGAACCATCAAAGTTTCACAGTTGGTGCCTGGCAAATGTATACAGTACTATGTGGGCACATTTAATACTTCAGCAGAATATTCCAGTTGCAGGGATGTGAACAATGGTAAGCAGACCATCCAAATAAAAGTGTTAGTGGATGAGGGATGCTTGGCTGTGATTGATTTGTAGTTGCTGAAAGATGCCCAGGGACACCTCCTGCTGTGAATAACTGCTGTTCTGGCATCCTGAACAGAATATTTCCTTGCTTCTCATCTAAGTATATATTTGGTGATGGGCATTTTCCAGTGGACTAGTTGTAAATATGCCAGCAGTAGATCTCTAGAGATTAAGTTCAGTCTCTAGAGATTTAGCAAGGTGTGCATGAAGAAATGACCCTAACATGGGAAATAGTTCCACAGATTATGCTAATAATCTAATTCTGGCTTCTTGTGAGGTTGAGGAGTTTCTATACACTTCATGTATAGAATGGGATGATTTGTTCAGTAATCATTTCATTTAAGGGATAATATTTTGGTCTTAACTGTCCTAAATAGTGTCAACAAGATTGCATAGCACAGATCTGTAGTTCAGCAACTAGTATACAATTGGTACAAAATACGTAAACCATTATGTATAGAGCCTATTGGTTCAAATATTAAAATCAATTGCATTGTATACTTTAACAATATATCAAATAAAGTCAGAGTCCATTCTAGATTTCACTGAAGATTAAAATATCTAGATTCATTTTTCTGACTTCAAAAGATAAGGATGAACAATTTTGAATCAGAGTAGTTGCCACATTTTTTTAAATCAGGAGGCTTCTGTTAACAGCTGCCTGACAGCTGGTTCTTTTTTATTTATTTGGAATCTGCACCCCACACTGTTATGATGTTTTATGTTGCTGTACACCACCACACGGTTTTGCAACAGGGCAGTATAGAGATACATCTATAAATAAAATAAATAAATGATTTTGAGAAGCTAATTTTTAGTTATATTAAATTTCCAGCAGAACTTTTTTCCATCCTGGAAATGTGATGAGGAAAGTTTGAATTTTAAACTTTGTTGTTGAATGTAAACTTTCATGTCGCTACTAAAGGTGCTAGAAAATAGATGCAAACAAATTCAGAATGCAACATGTTTTATTACACATGTTCAAATGTAACATGAGCTAATACTGAATGACCCTACTGAGCTGTTTAATCATGAAGACTTGTTTCCAGTTATTTACTCTTCACTACCCCTTTGAAAATTGCTCGTATAAATCACTGAGCTCTTGCTTCCCATGACGTTTCATGGGTCATGCCTGCTGCTATCCAGAACAGAATATGGCCCATAGTTAGTGAAGAAAGCAAAAAACTAAATATTGCAGAGCTCTTGTTTGAAAACTGATGTTCCTTAACATCTTGCAATAACATATCCTCGGTCTTTGCTAAACTGCAAATTAGTAATTAATTTTCCAGCACTTGTTCAGCATACTTTAAAACTAGGGTGGGGGGTGATGAGGGAAAAAGAATGTCGTTTATTAAAATGAAGCTTGATGATATGCACCTGCCATTAATGTATTGTACACAGTGTCTCTGACTCATTACAGTGATGATTTGGGTGAGAACAAGAGTCATATAGTCAGAATCACTTCAACACGTGCCTGTTCATATGCATAAACTCCTGTGTACCAGATGGCAAAATATAATGACATCTTAAACAGCTAATTGCATAAACCTTGTAATGCAGATAATTGCTGAACCAAAGTACAAGTTAATAATTTCCCACTGTAATGCCTGGCTTGAAATTAATCCTCAAGGAAAGTTGTGACAATCTTCATACGCTAAAGTTCACCAAGCGGTAATTAAAACTAGCACTCAAATCATTTGCCTTTCAAACCTTCAATTATGACTCGGCAGACTCACTTTTCAGAAATGCAGACACTGATAGCCAATGTTTTGTCATGTTCTCTTTTGACAAATAGCCTGAGGTCGCCTATGTTGTAGTTTAAAAGAATACACATGGTTGGATTAAGGGGCAGGAGAGACTTTGGGCTGAGGCATATTTTGGACCCAAGAAATCTTATGAAAATAACTTACTGGTCCTGATAAATGTTTACTAGCTTTCTTGCTTTGTTAGTCATTGTGTCACAGAGAAAGCATGAAAGGAAGGGGGTGGAAAGGCAAAAGAAAAAAGAAAAAAAGGACCCCTGGATGGTTAAGTCCAGTCAAAGGCGACTATGGGGTGCGGTGCTCATCTCGCTTCAGGCCAAGGGAGCCAGCATTTGTCCACAGACAGCTTTCCCGATCATGTGGCCAGCATGACTAAACCACTTCTGGCACAACAGAACACTGTGACGGAAGCCAGAGCCCACGGAAACACCGTTTACCTTCCCACTGCAGAGGTACCTGTTTACCTACATGCACTGTTATGATTTGAACTGCCAGTTTGAACTGCTAGGACAGAGCAACGGAGCTCCCATTGTGCGGTTTTGAACTGCTGATCTTCCAATCAGCAAGCCCAAGAGGATCAGTGGTTTAGACCACAGTACCACCTACATCCATAAGTGAGTGGAGAGGAACTACCAGCCAATTTGCAGAAGCTTCTCTCGGTGATTACCTGAGGTCATTTGTGATTTATTATTAATTTAATTACATTAGGCCCCATTTCAATCTCCGCCATTTCTAGAGACAGCTGGGAAAAACTGCTGTCTGAAACCAAAGACACTGCCAGGCTGAGTAGACAATACTCTGCTAGTTGGGCCAGCTGTTTGACTCAGTATAAGGCAGCTTCCCATGTTGAAGCTCAAGAGAACATGCACCAAGTTTCCAAGTGGTCTCCCATCCAGGCACTGACCAAACCCAAATCTGCTTAGCATCAGCAACACTGCTGTAGTACATGTCTCCAGGCCACAGCGGACTAGATGACTGGATATTTTACAAATATGCATGAGACCATCTCCTGCCAATATTAATAAGGCAAATGCAACTATTTTTACTGTTAAATTGCTTTGAGATGTTTCATTGGAACTGATGTATAAGTGAAATGCAATGAGAAAAATAAAAAAGGGTAGATATTCAAGCTCAAGTGGGGTTCGTGGGAACTATCCCCAGCATGTGTGTTGGAGTTTGGGTGAGCAGTCAGTTATGCTGGTTTCACTCTCTTTAGATCCACTGCAAAGGAAAGTTGATATCCTCTTGCATGTGTTGTATTAAAAAAATGACATTGTACCTAAAAGACTGCTCAATGTGAGTTTTCAACAACACATGATGGTTGGTTTTGTTGTTCCTGCATGACAAACATGCATTGCAGCGTGCATTGCCACTGTGTTTTTTCACAAGGCATTTGGGACAGGCTGACACTGCAAGTTAAATTTGTGCTGGGTGTAACCCTTTCCTGCCTTTAGGAAATGCAAAGGTGCCAAGTTTGTTGGTATAGTGGCCTGCTGCCAAGGACAGCAACACACCACGAGGAGTCAGCTCATTACGATTAGTGAAATAGCAAGCGAAACACTGCTATCTGGAGTGGAGAAAGCTGAAAATAACCGCAATGTACATAATGTACATAAGTAATAATGGGGGGCAGAAAGGCCTCCGTGTTGCTGTTGCTTTAACACTAGGAGTATTGTGAGGGTACTCTCTCTCTCTCTCTCTCTCTCTTTGTGTGTGTGTGTGTGTGTGTGTGTGTATGTGTATCCAACCACAGGTGTGAGAAGAATTAAACCCTGCAGAGAGAAAGCACCTCGCTGGTTTGAATCAATAACACCAACTGCATTCATGAAAACTTTATGTGTCTTTGTGGAATCAGGCTTCTAATTAGTTCCTGAGAGAACCTTATACATCACCTGCTACTGACCCTTTACAAAGTCACAGCTATGTATACTCTTGGCTAAACGTACAACCATTTTAAGATAAATAACAATTCTGCAAAATTTGATAACCCAAATTTTGAAGATAAAAAGGTTGAGTTATGCAACCCATATGAATGTTAGAAATCAATCAAATATGTACATAATTCCCTATTTCACACAATTTTCTATGCTCCTGCTAGTCATGGGGCAAAACATGGAAGTTCTGTCCCCAGATCTCTGGAAATCTTGCACAGCCCACGTGACATCCAAGTTTTCACCAGGCATTACCCACACGTTTTGAAGTTTTAGAACCAGAAGGACTAGTGCTTTAAAGAAATAAAAGATCTCAGAGATTCTTAGCATATCAAATTCTGCATCTAACAATTAATTCCAAGCATACACAGTGCAATTGCAGAATACACACTGGTAATTGCCTTGCCAATCAGAAACTGTCACTCTTAGCTGACCTTAACTGAGTCGACGAAACTCAATTTTACAGATACTTCAGTTGAACTATGATTTGGTCAATGGGGCCATGCTTTGGGGCTCACAAGCTCCTTCTCTTCCTCTTCATGCACTCCAATTCTCTCTCATACTTCCTGTTTTGTGGTAACTATAATTTTTTATTATATTACATCTAAATTGCACAACCTATGGTTACCAGAAACCATAGTTTGCCTCCAACCCAAAATTGGGAACTTCAATTTGGTTTTCAAATTTTGATTTGAAGCTGAATTATGATTTGCAGTCACCATAATTTGCCCAATTTGGATTTAACAACAGAGAGGAGAGAAAGGAGAGAGCACAAGTCAGCACAGCCCTGACAGACAAACCATGAACCAGGCTACTGAGTTAGAACCACTGAACCCTTTACATTTTGTGATCTTAGTATCTGTAATAGTCATTCTCAAGGTATTTTAATGCTGGCATAGTTAACTTGACAGCAGCATAGTAGAAAAATATTATCCATATATATATATATATATATATATATATATATATACACACACTAACTATCAAGAAAAAAAATCTAATATATGTATAGCAGTAGTTTTAAAATTATACATCAGATCAAGTCTCCATCAGGAGTATTGAGTCAGCATCTCTGGTGCAGTGATGTATTTTTAACACACTTAATATGGGGAAAAGGAAAGTCAGGTGTATAGTCCATGCCTAATGAAAAATTCAGAATGAAACATAGAAGAAATATAATCATGGAGACCAGTATGAAGCAATCAAAGTGTTTGAATGGCCTGGTGGTTAAGAAAATATCCTCTGTATAATGTATAAAACAGTTGCATAGTTGCACAAAGGGGAAAGAAAGTTGGAAATCAAGAAGAAAAACATTTTCAGCACATTTTCTGTCTGTACTCTTAATTAATCTGGTTATCCACCTTGGTTTTGGCTGACAAAAAATGTTATCACTGTTGCCTTCTCTGTGTTTCAGACCCATCCTTTTCCAGCTCTTTACCTGCATGGATAGGCAGAGGAGAGGGAAGCGTCACTTACTCAATTTTGGTCTGTCACAGAGCTGTTGAAGGACCACAAGCTTTGCCAGAAAAGTATGTCATGCCTTCATTACACTCCCATTGAATAATCAATTTCATAGCCTGGGAGTCCTCCTCAAGCAGCTTCTGTGGTTAGGCTTGTTCATAACCTGCTTAGGCTGCTTCACCAGCCACAGCTGCTCCTGGCCTGGGATAGCGTGGCCTCAGTTGTCTATACTCTGGTGACCTCTGGCTTTAGCAACTGTATTGTACTCTACGCAGGTCTGTCCTTGAGGTCAAACTGGAGGCTGCAGCTAGTGCAGAATGGGGCTGCTCAGTTGCTAAGTAGGCCTGCCGGCTGGGACCATATGATGTTGGCAGGGTCAGCCTACCCTGAGGGAAGGCATGAGGGAAGGCAAGGCGACTACCTCAGGTGGCAGGATCCGCCTGAGACATCAGATCCTAGTGTCAATCTTTCCCCCCGTCCCTGTTCCTCATGTAGATCTTCCCTGGCAAGCAGGGGGGTGCCATTTTAGGGTCTGCCTCAGGGGCCAGAATGTATTGGGTCCGCCCTGGACATTGGTTCCAAAAGCACTGCAGTGGCTGCCAGCGAGCTACTGGGCCCAATTCAAGATGTTAGTACAAACATATAAAGCATAGTTGTGCCCACTTCCATGTATTTAAATCCATTTGATTTCAGTGGGACTATTTACATGTTACGTTAGTGGAGTGGCTGCTAACACAATCTCAAACATATCTGCACAATTTGTTGCTTAGATCAAAACATGCCCAAATGCTTCAGCTTGAGTTTCACTATAGGAAATCCTTCAAAAATAAAGGGTTGCCAATGTGTGGTTATAACAGAAGAAAATTTGGTGGGTACAAACATCTAACTGAGCAGAGAAGAGTTGATATGGGTTTGGACTAGGTAACTAGCCAGACTGTCAATAAAACATATAAACTCAGATGTAAGAATGCTTAAGTAAAATTTCTGTTAGCCACAGCAAATTTCTTGGAGCATTTTTACTCGCAGAAAGAGGAAAGCAACACTGATTTCAAATTGCTAATAATTTTTAAAAATATTTTCTGGGAATATGCTATGCTCTTGATGTGCTTGATTTGTATATATGGAGAAACTAGAATTCTTAAGTAACAAATTCTGACTTTGTTTTTTTCCCCTTTCGCACCTGATCACCAGAAGCAGAAAGGTCTCTGTTTCACCACAACATTCCTCAACGCTCATATTAATCCTGGCCATTGAAGCAACATCTCTATAGGCACAGACTAGTTTATACAACTCCCATAGGGACTATTCACTTCTCCATATGTGCAAGCAGTTCCCATTAATGCCTGTCAATAGGAGTTAACACATGAGTACAGACAGGAGAATAGGCCCCTTGCTGTGCTCCTGACAAAATGGCTATAATATGGATTCAGATCACTTATCATTAGAAATCACAGAATTAACAGGGGCTGTCCCTTGTATGTGCTTGTGCTTTAATATTTGTAAGGCGGCTTGCAAAGGCTACAAAAATTAACATTTTGCAGAGCAACAAGATGGACAAAACATTGCATATAGACAAACATGTGTGTGCAGTAACATCTATGCAATGAATTGTCATACAATACTCTTATTACATTACAGAATATTTTGCATAGTATAAGAGAATGATAAAATGATCATCAGTCTTAGTCATTGCACTCCATCAAAAATAGTTATATTGCTATGTTTATGTGAATAAAGTTTCCATTTTAAATAAAAATGGTACAACTGATTTTTAAAATTATAGCATTAAACTGATATTCTCCAAAGAACCAGTGCAGATTTATGCAATTTAAAACAGTATCCAAGAAATTATGTTAGCAAAAGGATTTCCGTTTGTGCAACAGAACTTCCCTTCATTCTCCTCCAAAACTGTTCTGGAGGGTAAGGAGCCCCCAGAACAGATTTAAGGTGTGCACAATCATATAATTTTTTATTCAGAAGTTCCACTGATTTCACTGGGTATTACTCCCAGGTATACATCTTATTTAGTAAACCACAAAATTCATGCTTTCCATACAGTTGCGTTGAAGTAAGAAGGAGTTCAAACAGTGGTTGCTGGTTGAAGCCTTCAGTCAGGCTAGGATGGAGGTGCCAGTGTGATTCCATTCTGACGTCCTTTGCGACATAGCAGTCAAGTATGAACAAGAGATTTAGAGGCAAGAAAATGTCCTAATGATGTGATCTTAATATGAAACCAACATATGTTAGCTTCAGTTGAAAGTTTTCCTATTGCTTCTGCTACCTGCTGAGTGTTGAAGCCATCACAAACAAGTGCACTGCAATGTGATGTATGTTTTTATTAACAATAAATGTTGCCAAAGATAATGATCTGAGAGAAGCCTGGATAGCCAGACTATGTTAGTTCACCACAGAATGTCTTAGGACCATCTTAGTTGAAGAACTGTGATTAGAACTTTGGACATATAACCACAAAGCTACTTTTATAGACCAGGGAAGCTATTAAAGAAACACACAGACAGGCATATGCACAGATGAAATTAGCACTTGTAGTAGTATTTAAGCTAAAACAACTGACCAAAGGAATGCTGCTTTATGGTTTTAAAAATGTATAGGGATTTAAGATGGTTTCAGGTCAGACTTTCTGAAACCAAAATGAAAGTGCAAAATGATTACAGTTATATCTTGTATCAAGTGGTTTTCTACTGATAACCTACCACTAAGCTGACTTTGCAAATGCAGCCATGCACGTCTATTCTGTCAGTATGGTTCAGTGAGAGAACTGTCAATGTTCAGTGGCCCTGAAAATCACACATCCTCTGTGGTCCAATTTGTTTCAATCAAAGGTGCTTAAATACTTCATTACCTATAGGTGAAGCCCATCTCCCCCTCCCCCGATAGATTAATTGTATATTGCTAAAACTGGTTTTATTTTTTGGATTTAGTTAGCAGAGGGCACATCAGGTTGACTGTATAATGCTGAAAATTTTATTTTATTTTATTTCTAACAGGACTGGGAGGGGAGGCTAAAATCTGGACATTCCCACCACTGCTTAATTGAAATATATATAAAGGTAAAGAGACCCCTGACCGTTAAGTCCAGTCACAGATGACTCTGGGGTTGCGGCGCTCATCTTGCTTTACCAGCTGAGGGAGCCAGCGTTTGTTTGCAGTCAGCTTCCGGGTCTTGTGGCCAGCATGACTAAGCCGCTTCTGGCAAACCAGAGCAGCGCACGAAAACGCCATTTACCTTCCCGCCGGAGCGGTACTTATTTATTTACTTGCACTTGACGTGCTTTGAAACTGCTAGGTTGGCAGGAGCAGGGATTCGAACTGCCGACCTTCTGATGGGCAAGCCCTAGGCTCTGTGGTTTAGACCACAGCGCCACCTATGTCCCGAACAAACCCACCTATATATTTTGCTATATATATTGCTTTCTTCAAGTTAAAAAAGATGGATTTCACATAGAGACAAGTAAAATGACGAGGTGGCTTGGCAAATTCTGCTTATTAGAGTTGGTTTTTCAACTTGGGGTCTAAACATTTGCAGTGCTGACTTGTTCTTGTATGGACAAGCTGAAAGATTAAAGGTGATGATAATGCCAACAAAGTGAAGACAGCTTATAATGACATACAGTGGTACCTCGGGTTACAGACACTTCAGGTTACAGACTCCACTAACCCAGAAATAGTACCTCAGGTTAAGAACTTTGCTTCAGGATGAGAACAGAAAATGCACGGTGGCGGCGCAGCGGCAGCAGCAGGAGGCCCCATTAGCTAAAGTGGTACCTCAGGTTAAGAACAGTTTCAGATGAAGAACGGACCTCCAGAACAAATTAAGTTCTTAACCCAAGGTACCACTGTAGTACCATAATAAATCCAAGTACCATAAGGTACGGTATCCTCTTAATGGACCTACAGATTCTGCCCCCCAGTCAGTCTGGAAAGCTAATTCAGCGAGATACCATTGTTCCACATAACTTGGAAAGTTCTGCAAGCTCTTGGCAGAGACTTTTTTCAGAGTTTGCTCCATTACACAGTTGCAATAATTGTCAACATTACCTCACCTTTCTTTACAGTTCATAACTCATTCTAATCTGGGAACATCTAGATCCTAACTACAGCTTGTAGTAGGATGACATAAACTTTTGGATGCACATGACACTTTACTTTATTGAAGCAATCTAGCTAATGCTCAGTTTTGTCTACAAAAATCTCACAGATTGTTCCCTCAAAAATCACCATGCTTATTCATTATGACAGAAGGGGACAAGCAATTCGTAACAGATTCATTTATATAATTAGTCATTCTTAATTGAGCAATGTTTCACCAAATCATTGACCTTTCAAATTCATAAGGTACCAAAAGAAACCTCTGCTTAGTTGATGAAATGTTTATATATCATTGAAATACCTGACATCTATCTCTGATATGAGTGCAGAACAAATCATAAGAATAATCTCCTAGAGAATTCAATTAAAAGCAGTTCTGGATACCTGAAAGTAATTACACTATCACATTCTCCATAGGGTTTAATTCAGGCCAAGCCACAACTACCGTGTGTCCAAAAGATAATGAATTAAAGCAATGCTTTGGCATATCCCCTTACTGAAATGTTAGCAGCCTTCTCAAGTGACGTGAAAAATAGGCTTCAATAAAATGGGTAGGAAAATATATGCAGTTAAATTCAATCAATAAGCTGTCCTTGACCAATGTCCAACTTTTAAAAACAGCTCCAAATGAATTATGAGGACTCCCACTCTGATTTTAAGTGTATTAATTTTGCAACGTATATGCTGAAAGCAATGTGCTGTTTGAAAAGAGGATTTCAATAGAAACAGAACATATTGCAAATATATCACACGTTCCATTTCTGATGCTAAGGATGCCCAGACCAGCTAGCATGAGGATGGAGAACTCTGAGCCCCTTGAGGAAGAACAGGATAAAAATGAAATAAATAACCATTTCCTTTTAAATCCTATTGTTTCCACCACTTGCACACACACACAAAAAGTCAAGGAAAAACACTCTCTCTATCTCTGTGTGTATGTGTAAACACGCACACACACTTTGATAAGCCTAGGTGTCTGTTTGAAAACTGAAAAGTTGGGGGTCAGAAATGGGAGCAGTACTGACCTTCTGCCCTTATATAATTATACAGAGTTGGCTAGAACACCATCTTAAGAAGAGCCCTGCTGGATCAGGCAAAATACCATCTATTCTCAAAGTAGCCAACCAAGCCACTTTGGGAAGCTCACAAGCAGGATCTTCCTGAGCCCCTCTCTACTGCAAATGACCCCTAATGAAAGTTGTGCATACGCACTTCTCTCATACCAATGGAAAATGTTGCTTCCAAGAAGTGGGTGGCACACCAACAATAGCCGAAGAATGGGTTTCAGTTGTCCCAGTGTAAGGTAGATCAATCAATGTTCATCCCTTCCTATAGCACAGGAAGCTCTTGTAAGTCACCAGAGAACATTTTGTTATTGGGTGGTATATAAATACATATTTATTTACAATGTAACACACAAAGCTGTTTCCTGGGACAACTCTCCCAACAGCTCCCATAATGCTTTGCCAGCCTTCCCATAGTTCTCTTGTAAATGGGGTACCTGAAGCTGCTAGATGGCAGGGGTTTGGTGGTGAAGGAAGGCTGCTATTTCATGACTAAAGATTTAGGCTCGGACACATGAGGTCCAAGATTTAGGCTTGGGCACATTGGAGAGTTATGTATTTGCCACCATAAGGGATGAGGGAGGAGAACTAACCACAGTGGGTGTGCACTAAGGGCGTGTCTCCTGAGCCTGATTTCTCTGTCCTTTCAGTCAGGGTTGGCATCAAGGTGAACAAGGCTGGACACCTGCTGAGGAGGTCACTATTGATCCCCACTGGGCCCAGAGGGAACTGCAAATGAACAGGCAGCAGCAAGTCATGAGAAGACACACTTAATGGATGGTCTATGATTTCAACATTCTAAATGACATACAAACAAATATGTAGTATGTTGACGGGTGTTGAGCCAAGGCCAGATATGATAAGCCTGAATACAACCAATGAACACTAACTCCTCCTGCAGAATGGTTTCATTAAAATCTATATGTCACTATGTCAAGAGGACTGTAGTTACGCAAGCAGTTTGTATATTGAGTTTCCAAACCATTAGACAAACGATAATGCTTGAGTTTACTAGGATTAATTTTGTTGCCACACATTCCTAGAAATGAAGAAACTCAGCTAGTGACAACAGTGCTGTTGCCTCATGCAACGTTTAGCTGTTCACTCATATAACACAAGGACAACACTTCTTTTATTCCCGAAGCAACAGAAGTTGGCACCTGAGATGTTTGTTTTCAACAACCATAGCTGAAAGTCTGAACTTGCATCTGCTTAGTTGAGTTATGGTAAAACAAGCAGAAATGGAAGTTCTCACTCTTGGACAACACTGAACAGGTCACTTCTAAGCTGGCAACTGCATCTGACCACTTTCCACATTCCATCCTGGAAATGGGAGGGGAAGGTACACTGGAAACACATGTAAACAGGTTTGCTGCAGATTAGGGGCCCTGACATTTCAGCTTATTCCCTCCAATAACATTTGCTGATGACAACTCCCCCCCATGTCTTTTTGAGTTCATCTGTGAAGGATTGTCCACCTGCTGCCTTCTCGTGGGCCCTGGAAAGATGCCAGAAGATGGCAACGGCATGTACTACTTTGGGGGATTTGGGTGTGTGTGGAATAACAAGGAGTCTGTTATGACTGGGAACGTTTGCAGTACTATAAATAACTCTATCAATATTGTGATAATGGCACTTTAAAGAAGTCTATTTTACAAGTGTTGAATGTAAGAGACTGCAGCTGTGCTCATTAATTCTGAAGTATGCTTCTCTCTATGTACAATTTGCAGGTGTAACAATAGGGGTGTTGATTCATTGGAAGCCTAGATTGTGATTGAAATTCATTCGTATTTTAAAGAAGAAAAAGAAGAAGAAGAAGAGGAAGAAGAGGTTACACTAACATTGTCAGTGCCTAATAAGTCATTATTGTGCTTGGCAGAAGAAAAGCAAATTACAACAGTTTAATTGAAAACCTTAAGAGGTAAAAGAGAAGAAGACTGTTAACACAATTTCAGCAAGACTCAAACATCTCCTTTCTACCAAAGAACAAGTACTACAAAGGAGAGAAATAGATTTAAAAATAATCATTAATTGAGGTAAACTTGGCACAAAGATGGCAGAATTCTAATTAACTTGCAACCTTTCCTATCATAACATTCGGTTAGAGAGATGGCACTGTTCTATTTCCCCTTGTAAGCTAATATGTAGCTGAAGTATAAATTGACACTCCACAGCATACATAAATTTTCTTTATTCTGAACCAAATTTAATTTCTGCTATGCTATTTCTGGCATCCTGAAAACATCCAGTTGCCCCACCTGAACTTGACATTTCCTACTTAGCTTGAGTTAATTGGCTGTAGAGTGGGAAAATCGTGTTAATTGGGTCTGCGTCATTGAAGAAAACAGTTCTAGAACAGGCCCACCTTACAAAGGGCTATTGTAAAGTGCCATAAGGCTCAGATTGGAGGCTCAGGGAGCACAGCCCAGATGCCTCATTCTTTGTACTACTCTGTCCAAAGGGTGATACTGCAGCTGCCAACAAATCAGGCGACACAAGGGGCCAAAAGGGGTTCCACCATATTATCCTGCTCTTCAGCTGGCAAGACTCCCAGATCAGCTTACATAAAAATATTTTTCAAAACACAAGTACTCAGTAAAAACAACAGCAATATAAGCAGCAGAGCAGAAAAATATCCCAGCTAAAAACAAAAAAAGCTATTGACTCGAAAAGGTCTGGTCTGGGCAAGTAATTCACCTGACACCAAGGAAGAAAAGAAAGCAGACTTGGTACCACATGGCCCTCTCTGGAGAGGGACTTCTAAAGATGGGGCACTATAATCAACAACAACAACAACACCCTGTCACAGGTCACCACTCACCTTACTGTTGATAGCTTTGAAAGACAATTGTAGCATTCAGGCAGCTTTTTGCAGAAGAAGGTGGTTCTATAAAGTTGTTGACAATAGCCTAGTCCTTGGTCTCATCATAAGGGCAAACCTGTGTTAGTACTGCCTGTCCACACCTACAATTTTGATCCCATGCTTGCATTCAGGATTGGAGCTGAGGTGTGCAGCAACAGGACCAAGCCTGAATTTTTTTGCCACCTTATGCAATAAAAGAGCTGTGCTGAGCGGAGATCCCGCATAATATTGTATAAGATGCTACGGAGCAGCTCCTGAATTTGCAAAAATTGTGGCTTAACATCTTTGTGGCGCTGAGGGGAGTCTGGGTGTGTGCGCGTTACACCTTTCAGAATGCATGCTGCTTTACTGGCACTGTTAAAAGCCCTGCCTCCTAAGAGACTGCTTGGCTTGTTTGTGTAGCTGCCCAGCCCTTGACAGCAAGGGATAGCAGATGGCTCCTACAGTATTTCCAGCAGAGACCTTGGCCTACCCAACTTACTCAAGGAAAGTATAAACAGCAAATTAGCAATTACTGCTAAGGTGCTGAGGTTACAGATAGAGGAAAAATCTAACCCATACAATTTTAGTCCTGCCGTAAAGTTCATGCAAATTTATACCTTACCTTACTAATGTTAAGATTATTCTCCTTAACCTTTTATAACGTATGTGGAGCATGAATAACTCTTTTCCAAGTAGTAACGGTGTTTGTTATCTGTTGCTGCTCTGAACTAATTTAGGCGCTGCTCCCATAGCACTAAAGCACAATAACAGAAGACAAGGTTTAAGGATATAGCAAGAACTTTGATGGATCAGAACCAAAGGCATATCTAGTTTGGCATCCTCTTTCTCAAAGCAGCTGGCCAGATGCCTATAGGAAACCCACAGGCAGCACAGAAGGGCAAACACCCTCTCCCACTGTTCCTCCTTCTGCCTGCAACTGTCCATGTTATTTTGGACGGACATTCCTGTACTTCCCTTTATCCTGGCTGTTGACCGGCCCTTTCCCCCTTACCATTCAGAGTTGCTTTGTTATATTTATTTAAGTGTAATTGTGCACACATCCACCTATCCCCACATTTCTACTAGTTATCTTTCTCCTCCTTGACTTTTAAAGAACCATTTTGCAAACCCATAGACATTTATTTTATATACCTTGTCTTTCCTTCAGCATGTCTCTATAATGGAAATATCTGTAACCTAGTTCACATTTATTTTGGCAGATACGTACTTTGAGATCTCTCAGTAAAGCTGTTATATAAGAGAAACTATGATTGTGCATTAAGCCAAACCAGATGTCTAGTGAGAAGAGAATATTTGAAATAAAATGGTTCTTTCCTCTTTTCCTGATTACTATTAGTCTTGACAATAATGATCTCACCAAAGATATAAGCAGCACAGTCCATTCTATGATTTAATCTTGATCCCAACAGATCAGGGTTCGATTTAATTGCTCTACAATTAATTAGAAACAGAGGCAAAATGTTAAAAAGAGAATTTTCACATATATCCAAGAAGCTGTTTACATTCAATTGGAACTCATGTTAGACTGAATCATTAAAACTATAAAAGATTACATCTGGGCAAGAATTAAAGCCAAGCCGATTCATTAACCCAAATGGTGGCCTACAGATTACTGACACAGTATTGCTGCTCTAGCGATCAAAGGATCAAGGGATACGTGACCAGATGACCCTAATTGAAACAGTCTCCACTGAATTTCGTAAATGGAAAACTTGAAAGGATTAAGACGATATTCACCAACTTCTGTCAACATTGAAAATAAATTGGTTCTAATAGCTTAACTGCATAAATACTGTAATGAAAAAGAGGGAAACAAGGACAATGGAAATCATTTATACAAACCACAAAATATTTTATTTATTTATAGAAATATTTCTATACAACCATATCACAAAATGTCAAGTTGGCGTAAAATGCTAAAATCAAAAACATTATTTCACAAATTAAATTTAAATTTTAAAATACAGATAATCATCAAGGTGAGTGATGACACAGTGTTGGAAGTGTTAGGTATATTGTGTTAGATATCATGGAATAGTTTACTAAATTGTTCTTACTCATCTGATTAAGACTAGAGGAGCTCTGGAATTTACAGCTGAAGAAATCTCATTCATTAGCCTGTCAAAAATATGATTTCTGATCTTTGGAAAGAAATCTTTTGGGGAACCATTATTCAATTAACCATTTGACACACACCATCTTTCCCAGAAAAAGAAAAAGAAATTAACGGCCGGTTGGGTTGAAATAGATATCATAGTTTCATACTGTGCCTTACAATGCAATATTAAGCATGTTTATTCAGATGGAACTTTTACTGAATGCAACAGCACTTGCAATGCAATGTTGATGGATCACATCCTGTGGTTTACAGACAGCAACCTCCCCCTCTTTAAGGGATTTCCACATCGCAGATGAAAGGTTCCTTTTTGTGTGATAGTAGTGCATCTGTGTGGGATGCGGGTGGCACTGTGGGTTAAACCACAGAGCCTAGGGCTTGCCGATCGGAAGGTTGGCGGTTCAAATCCCCGCAACGGGGTGAGCTCCCGTTGTTTGGTCCCAGCTCCTGCCAACATAGCAGTTCGAAAGCATGCAGTGCAAGTAGATAAATAGGTACTGCTCGGGCGGGAAGGTAAATGGCATTTCCGTGCGCTGCTCTGGTTCGCCAGAAGCGGCTTAGTCATGCTGGCCACATGACCCAGAAGCTGCCTGGGGACAAACGCCGGTTCCCTCGGCCAGTAAAGCGAGATGAACGCCACAACCCTAGAGTCATTCGCGACTGGACCTAATGGTCAGGGGTCCCTTTACCTTTACCTAGTTCATCTGTAAGCAGGGCATTCACTCTATGAATAGGAAGATTGATACTATCCTCAATTAATTTATGTAATATACTGGTAGTTTTTAAAGACCATTAACAGTAATGGTTTTCACAACAACCTGTGGCGTCTATCATAGAAGAAACACTTCATTTGTTCTGAAAATTGTGCCATGGGTTTCTTTGAATGATTCGATGTTCTGAGACAAAAAGAGAATCATTTCTCTCTTACAGCACCTCCATGACTTCCATGCTTTTATAAACTTGTAAACGAAAATCAGCCTGAAAACGTTTGATGCTAGATTTTTTTTCTGTTTAAATCTGGCATTTACCCCTATTTTTTTTCCATTTGTGTTATTGTGAAATTGCTGCCTGATCATTACTGTAGGTAGCATTATTATTATGGATTTACTAATCACTTTGTTAGCATTTAATGATTTGTACACAATGCTTTACATGCAATTCCATATAGGACTAATCAGAAGTAAGTCCAACTGCTTTCAATTGTGCTTATTCCCAGGTAAATGGATATAAGATTGCAACATAAATCTCTTTGATTGAATTGTGCCCAGTGCTTTTTTTCTGGGGGGACGCATACCCCTAAACATTTTGTGAATCTAAGTTTGGCCTCATTGAGGGGCAGTATGTCAATATGAGTAGGAAAATGAGAGTACCCCTAAACATTTTTTTTTAAAAAAGGACTGATTGTGCCTATTGATAATAGTGGTTGCTGCTATTATTTGTATTATTTAAAAGTGGCATAGTGTGCTAAAGGGATATCACATAATGAAGTACAACTAATCCCTAATACAGGATAAATTACCTTAACTCCTAGGAAACTAAAGCTCTTTAAATTAATCCCCATTATTTGGCATAAGAATGAATATGTTTACATTTGGAATAAAAGCCATATTAAACTTCTCACCTTTCCATGGTGCTGATTTACGATTTAGTCTTTCTGGAGGTATGTGAATAAGAAATCTCAGCATTTGTGTGTGTTTTGCAGAGCAAGAAATTCTTTTCATTCCCCAAGACTAGAATAATATTCCACTGAATTTCTATTATTTTTTCTTGGTTTATTGGACTAGTTGCACAGATGTCCACTTTTCCTGTGCCAGCTGTGCAGAGAGCTGCTTCAAGCTTAGACCAAAATGTTGACAGAATAATATAACTCAGGCCAGACATACTGCATTTTACACTAGAGGTCATATGAAAAAGTACTGGCAGCCTATAGCACAAGCTGTTTTACATAAGCATACATTTGGTATGTGAATTACTCAAAGAATGCTGTGGGAGGGAGAGGGTAAGGGAACAAACTTCACAGCAGTTGTAGAAGCTGTAACAATTGTTCATCAAATTACCTCAGAGTCTGTTTATGCCTATTTAAGAAGTGTGAGATATCATTACCCACTAAAAGGTGTCAGAAACAATAGTCTCTTCACAATACACTATGCAGGATTCCCAAAGTAGGATGGAAACTGTTTCAGATCATCTAAGTTCTCACATTTTCTCCTTTCTCATGGCTCTGATTCACCCACAAAAAGAACACGCAAAAGAAATAATGTAAAGGCTGTGGGCAAATCTTCTAGGGTAATTCAGAGAGCAAGAGTCAAATGGTGATCTCGCCCTGAAATGACAAGAGAATGCCAGTTGCAAATGTTCAGTTCTCCCAAATCAGGCAAATTAGGGGGTTTCTCCCCACCCCAACAGGCT